CACCATTTTTTTGAGTACTCTTAACTGGCTTTAGGACCTACGTTTATAATCCAGATGGTACCAAAAAAAAAACAAAAACAAAACAAAGGAGCTGTGTCCTAGCATCATTGAAACTAGAGTTTCATTCAACATTTCTAATAAAGCCCAGAGTAAACATAAGACCTGGATCCGCTGTTCCCTCAGTTGGATTCATTTTCTATTTGCCTCTCATCTGTATGTCCCATCTCTGCAGTAGAGTTTCAGTGCACAGAAATAACCTTTTTTATATAGCAACACAGCTCAACTGTATAGAAATACCTTTTTCAAAAAATAGCATGGCACAACTGACAAAACTGACGGCGATCTGTTCCGATTCTGAGGAAACTGGCTATTAGGAGACCTCACTTTTGATTCTCCTAAGGGATTTTCAAAGTAATTATAATTACATGAAATTTCCCTCGACTTCAGAAATTAATCCCCAAATAATCTCCTACTGTTGATCACCTTGGGAGCCGTGATTTAGTCCCAGCAAAATATCCTGTCCCAGTAATTTAATGTTATTAATTTAGAACAAAGAACCATAAGGTAAAGATCAAGACAGCTTAATAGTCAAATAGTTATTACAAAACATGTATGTGTATTATTGCAAAGTCATTTGCGTTTACTGATAATATAAAAATGATGTCCCTGATTCATTTTTGTTTGTATGTTCAAGACAGGGAGTAGAGAATTAAATTATGTTCAGAATACACTGGGAGGGTGGGAAGATATGATGCAGTTTAGTATTATTTGCTTCCAAATTCTCTAAAATAATTAAAAAAAAAGAAAAAAGAAACAGAGTCTTGCTTTGTCACCCAGGCTGAAGTGCAGTGGCATGATTATGGCTCACTGAAGCCTCGACCTCTCGGGGCAAGAAGTTCTCATGGGTAGCTGGGGCTACAGGCACACACACCAGCACACACAGCTAATTTTTTTAAATTTTTTTGTAGAGATGAGGTTTCACCATGTTATCCAGGATGGTCTCAAACTCCTGGGGTCAAGTGATCCCCTTGCCTCTGCCTTCAAAAGTGCTGGGATTGTGGGCATGAGCCATTGTGCCCAGCCTAATTTTTTATTATTGAAAATGTTACTTCTTTGTTTTCCTAAGACTTGGCAGTGGTTTCAGGCATACTTTTTAGTACCTCCTTAAAGAAAGAATCCATTATCCAGAAGGGTGACTTGGAATAGTAGGAAATAAGTGTGCTCTAACATTTACCTTCACCTTCCCAGAAAAGTGCGGTGAATTGAAAACCAGTCTACAAATTCCTTTCTGAAGGACTTTCCCAATTAGTGGGACATAGTTTATAACAATACATTGGTTCCCTCAGGATCAGTGGTTAATCTTTCTTTTTACTGAAGCAGGAAAAAAACCAGGACAAGATGAGCTCATAGAGTATAGAGCACTATCTCTAGAGGAAAAATTAGGAGAGACCAACAGAACCATCTAAGATCATCTAAGAACCTAAGATGTAATAGGTTATTATCATGCATTATTCCACATACTTTACTACTTAGCTATGAATCCAAGCAGGAACTACAGGCTATTATTAGAAAAGCAAACTAAATAGTTTGGGATGGATAACCTCATATCCCATACATTCACCTCCCATTAAGAGAATTGAGCTTCCTACTTAAGCGTATGTCCTTAAGTACCACAGATTACTTATCCATTCTTGCTTAATTCCTTTATCATAGCTTCCATGGTATTTTAACCTTGGAAGTCTCTAAGAGATACAATCCTTCTTTTTTCATTTTTGCTTTTTTTTTTTTTTTTTTTNAACATTAATATTAGAGAATTATATCTGATACTCAGATGTGTCACCAGGTAGCTGAATTATTTTATGAGGCAACATGCTTAATCTCTGTGACCTCTTTTTTCCTATCCATAAAGTATAAGATTTGAATTCCATCATGTCTGGTTTCCCTTTCAGTTCTGAAATTCTAGGAGTCTATGTAGCTGTAAAATACTTTGTTGTGGTTATGCATCTCCACCTAAGCAGAGGAAAGCAATTTCTCAAAGGCAAACTCAGACCCTTGTGGAGCAGTCATTCAGTTTTATCTTCCCTAAAATTAGATTCTGATTGAATGCTATTTTCAAGTTTCATCCAGTATCTGGAAGTACTCATTTCTTTCATTATCAGACTACTCTTTGGAAGTCTTACCATCCAACCACCAGCACTGCAATACTGTCCTATGTTGTGATGTGCCTCTCAGGCATTATTAGACTTGGCTATTTTACATTTCTTTTTAAAAATTATTATTTGATCTTTTCCTCTGTAAATGTCTTCAACATTACAAAAGCTTCTTGTACATGCATATGACATTATAATGGAATATAACGACATAATGAAGTATCCTTCTCAGTTTTACCTCATACCTAACTAGTGAATGAAGTTTCAACTTCATATCTTGAAACCCCTTACACTAAAATTAACTTTACTGCAAGAGAACAACCACTATGGAAAATCTTTTTAACAGTGATATCTTGGGGTTCAATTCTCTGTAAATACAGGACATTAGTAGCTAAAGGCCAAGTATTTACCAGTGTACCTTTGAAAGAGAGTGAACCTGGAGCCCAACCCAGTGAAGAAAAGAATATTTACTTTGGAATAATAATGCTAAAATAAGAATAAAATGAAGCCACCTGAAAAGAAGAGCTATTAGGACTTTTGCATGATAATGTACAGAATAACTGAATGTACATTGAAAGAATTTGAATATCAGCACAAAAATGAGCTCACTGTCTTTTCTACAAAGGATCCCATGGAACTGACTTCTAGCCCAAAACACATAAAAACATCAGGTTGTTTTGGGTCTGGTCAAGGAGTGCATTGTTACTAAAAGTCGTGGAAGACCTTGAAACATTATCAACTTCTTCACGGCCTCATAGCCTCTAGTTTAAGAATTTCATTTTAGCCAGACCGTGGTATTTATCTTACTAAAACTTATTTGCTTCACTTCTGATTTTATTCTTTATCTACCTAGTTCAGACCCTTCTGAGAACATGTTTTGTACAATGTCTTTAACATACCAAATTTCAATTCTAATTTCTTCTTTTAACCATTTTACTCTTTTAATGTTCCCATGTTTTTCCTGCTTTCTTCTTTCCTGCTTTCTTCTAGTCCTAGTACTTGGAGAAATTTGATGAGCTTCAGTTTTTTTTCATTAAGAAATTTCACACTCATAACTATGAAAATACATTTCTTAAAAATAAAATATTCATGTACTGAAATGTATTGGAATATGACAATAAAGAGAATAATAAGTAGCATTTATTGAATTTTTCCTGTGCTCTAAATAGAGTGCTAAGAGCTTTACGTAAGTTATCTCAGTTGTAGACTACTTAGAATTTCTTACTGGTATAAATATTGATCACTAGTGCTAATCTACTGAAATAACCTAGATTTTACTTCTTTAGACAAAGGAACTCATTGAGCATCTAGTTGAAAACTGACGATGGTCCTGTGAAGCATTATCCTATGATCAAATAATTGTGTGGGATTGAAAAATACAAATGAATCCCAAACTTTCTACCTGACAAATTTGACATGTGGAAATGTGCAATATTTATATTGAAATAGAAATTCAATATTTGTATTGATATGTAAATTTATAGTTTATATAGCTTATATAAAATATATATAAATATAGCTTGCTTCCTTTCTAAGCCTTTCCTTCAATTTCAATCCTCTAATTTGACTATTTTAGTTTTTTGACTCACGACCGTTCCCATCTTTCATTTTTTAAGCAGTGGGATTCCATTTCTGTGGTTTCAGCTATCAGTTAACTTTCTTATCTATTCTTCTCTTCCCCTCCCTTGTTTTTATTTTCATTCCAGTCACAGAATATGTCTATACAGCCAGCTTTTTCAGCCAGGATATATGACTTTGATATTCTGAGTTCATTTTCTGTACAGTTCTTAACTCTCTCAGTACCGATTTTGTTTTTTCATTTTATGTGGTAAAATATTAGCAGAAGCATCAATTTTTTATTGTAATAAACGTTTTAAGCGTCAAATGTTTTGTGGTGATGCATGTCAGAGATAGATTTTATATATAGCCTAGTGAATTGATATGAATTCATTCTTAGGAGGTTTCATATCTTGTGGCCCAAGCACTGTATTACAACAGAAGGACGAAGTCAGAGAACACCGCAAATCATCAGGGAAATATGCAAAACTAGCTGTAGTTTCTTAGTTCACAGAAGTAAGATCAGCGTAGAGGTTATGGAAATAATAATGCATCACTGTGGCAAAGATCATGCTGGAGGGCATAATCTTCACACCAAACACTGAGGCTGGAATATGCTGCTTATCAAAACTACCACCTGCTATAGGAGCAGCTGTGGATCCAGGACCCCCGCTGATCTCCAGGCCACCTTATTTGAGAGCATTCAAGTTGCTCCCACTGGGACTTCTCATTGTATATATGTGCAAGCATATGGGCTCTTTAGGTCAAACTGTGGAAAGCTGTACTAGAAGAGATGAAAAGTCTCTATGACAATAAAATTCTATTTTGAAATAATGAATATATGAATGTCAGTAGACTTCAGCAATGCCTAAAGTGTATGAAAACCTAAATGTGAACTACACTTTTTAAAAAATAGAAAAGGCTGTTGTTTGGAGCAGCATGGAGCAAACTATTTTAGTTCAGCAACTTTTCTGGGTTTTTCAACAATATAGATAATTCATAGAGAGTAGCAACAACTTTCTAGTATGTCTGCAGGAAAGTCAATATATTGATCAGGTTGATGTGTCAAGAAATACCATAGACTGCATGAAATGGTAGTTTTGTTTTGCTGTTATGATACACTGGCAATTAAAAGAATTACTAAATATGAAAGTATTCAGTAAATCATAAAGCACTATACAGATGAAACATGTGTTTTAAAATACTGAGTTACAGTCATTTCAAACTTGCTAGTTTGAAATCCGTTTTTGATGTTTTCATATTTAAGATCCATGTTTGTATGTGTGTTTTCAGATAATCACAAGGACTGTTCTGGCGTGTCCTTACACCTCACACGTCTGCCGTAAGTACTTCCACTTTTCCTGGATGAGCAACAACTTTAACATCTTTATGAACTTAGAATGGGAATTTCACTGTATTAATTATCTGTGGGTAAAACTTAACCTAAACTAACTGGCTTAGAACAGCAAATATTTATTGTCTCATTTTCCTGTGTGTCAGTAATTGGACACACTTATCTGGACCCTCAGGCAGGAGGTCTCACACAGAGGCTATAGTGAGAATCTTGGCTGGCGCTTCCGTCAGCTCTAAGCTTGACTGGGGAGGAGCCACTTCCAACATCACTCACATGGTTGTCGGCAGACTTCAGTTGTTTGCTGAGTGTTGGCTGGAGGTCACCCTCATATCCTTATCAAGTAAGCTATAAGCAGGACAGCTCACATCATAGAGCTGGCTTCCATCATAGAAAGTAAGCAAAAAGCAAGAAAGGGCATGCATGCAAGATGGAAGCCAGAGCCTTTCAGTAACCTAATGTTCAAAATGACACCCCATCACTTTTGCTATACTCTATTTGTTAAAGATAAGTTACGAAGTAACTCAGAAATGGAAAAGCAGACATCATATGTTCTCACTCATAAGGGGGAGCTAAGTTATGAGGATGCAAAGACATAAGAATGATACGATGGACTTTGAGGACTCTGGGAGAAAGGGTGGGAAGGGGGTGAGGGATAAACGGCTACAAATTGAGTTTAGTGTATACTTCTTGGGTGATGGGTGCACCAAAATATCAGAAATTACCACTCAAGGACTTAGGTAACCAAATACTACCTGTTCCCACAAAATCTATGAAAATAAAATACTTTTTAATATTTTTTAAAAGATAAGTTACTACACTTATTTTATCCTACATTAAAGGGGAAGGGATTAGACAACGGCATGAATGTCACAGCTAGGAATCATAAGAGTTGATTAGTCAGGGTTCTCCAAAGAAACCTGAACCAATAGGATTGAGAGAAAGAGAAAGAGTGGTTATAAGGGATTGGCTGACACTATTGTGGGGACTGATTAAGTCCTAAACCCACTGGACCAATTGGAAATTAAAGGAAGGGTTGATGTTGCATTCTTGGGTCCAAGGGCAGTTTGCAGGCAGAATCCTTTCCTTTTGAGGGGACCTTTGTCTTTTCAGTCTTTCAGAGGATTGGATGACGCCCACCCACATCATGAAAAATAATCTACTTTACTCAAAGTTTAATTTAAAGGTCAATCACATTTAAAAATCACCTACCCAGCAACACCTAGACTGGTGATTGACCAAACAACCAGGCACCTGGCCAGGTCGACACATAAATTTAGTTATCACAGGAACAATTTAGAGTCTGCCTTCACATGAAAAAGTATTTTTTAAGGAAAAAAAATCCTCTTCTTTTTCTATTTCATTTTAATTTTCACAAGGCTCACATTTTATAAACCTTAGTGTTGAGGTCTATCTTGTTTTTCCAAAACAGTCATTTTGACTTTTTCAGGTAATTCCGAAAAATATTACTTTTTTCTACAGACAGCCTTTAATTGCTGGCATGTACCTTCTGATGTCTGTTGACACTGTTATCCCAGCAGGAGAAAAAGGTGAGTAATGATTTTTTAATATTTATCCTTACCTTATTTCCTAATCTGTAAAAATGGATTTATAATGTTTTTTTTTTTTTTAAAGATGGGGTTTCACCATGTTGGTCAGGCTGGTCTTGAACTCCCGACCTCAGATGATCCACCCGCCTTGGCCTCCAAAGTATAGTGTATTTTTAGTAAAATTTAAAAATAACCAATATTTTTGTGTCTTGGAAAAATAAACCAATTCTTTATTGTCCATGGATTTAAAATAGATTTTTGTATTATTCCAAGCCAGTGGTTTATTACTTTTCCATTCTTTGTTGAGATGCTAGGAAGTGAGGCCCTTGGGTAGGTGTGTGTTATATTAATTAAAGAATAAATCTTGAGTATTTTAGAAACAAATCATCCATTCTTGAGATGCAGAGGACACACTGCATAATGAGCAGTGACATAAACTTCTATATAGAAAGATTTAAAAATTAAATGACTAGCAAGTCCAACACCAACTTAGTCTTTAAACTTAGATATAGGTGGCTTATTTCTCTACTTGCAAAATGGGGATGATAATAGTTGATCCTCCCAAGCTTACTAGAAGCGATGAGAATAAGTATAATATTATTTATTAATATATGTTATGATTCTCTAATAAAAGTACCATATGAAATATTGTTCATTTGTTTTCACTGGAAATTTCTTAAAGTTAATGACTAGTATGGTCTCTTTGTTACCATTTTTTCATCTATTATAAAATAAATATTTATTGAATAGCTACTGTGTTAGACTATAAGGAAGATGCAGTATGAACTGGCCTCTTCTCAACAGGAACTGCCAATCTAGTGATCTTAGGTGTCTGCATTCAGTTTTTCAAAAATCCTTTTGTTCCAAAAATAAAAACCAATTTTTAAGCTTTCTCAACTGGATAAATTTCAAGCTAGAGATAACAAATTAGGCCTACGTTTTCACTGACAGAATATTCTGATTTGGTTCTAGTCATTCTGTTTAAGAAAAAAATAAAAATATTAGGCAAGGGGTTCTTAATTCATGTGAGTAAACTGGCTGGCACAGAATAAGTGCTTAATATCTGTGTGTTTAAGTCATCTTATGAATACCCTATGCACACTTTTAGACAAGAATAATGTCATTTTCCAATTGAATAGTGATTTTTGTCTGTGTTTTCATTTCCCACAGTGGTGAATTCTGACATTTCATGCCATTATAAAAATTATCCAATGCATGTCTTTGCCTATAGAGTTCACACTCACCATTTAGGTAAGAACTTTACATGTTAAATTATAAATATTTACTATTGTGCTTGCTGGTGCCATAAATTAGAATGCAAAGTATATTTGGCCTTAAGTCTGTTTCAGTGAAGGTGATTTCATGTAAGATCTTGAAAGATTTTATGCATTTTATCATGTTGTTTATACTAAGATACTCAGTATTTGGGGCTCTGAAGATACTCAGATTTCTATTTTAAAGTGGGAAAGTAAATATGCCTTTTGTTTTTCTAATACCTTATTGTGTTATATGAGTAACATTTGTGTTTATTTCAGGGAAGGTAGTAAGTGGATACAGAGTAAGAAATGGACAATGGACACTGATTGGACGACAAAGCCCTCAGCTGCCACAGGTGTGTAAAATCTAGTTTAATTTTGAAAGAAAAAATATTAACCAGCAGAAAGTAACTTTTAAAACTTATTATGCAACTCTTGTGAATTTCTATGGAATCTAAAAATTTCTAAATCCACCTTTACTGTATATCTGAGCTATATAACTTCCTTTTTGCAACTTCCAATTTGGTACTTCCTTTAACAGTTTTCTCAATATGGTCAAAATATGTTGGTGGCCTTTTATATCCCATCATTTATTCAAAGACAGGATTTCAGATAGCTCTTCTATTATCACATTTATTCTGATTTTTAAGGGATGCATTTGCTAATAGTATTTATTTGTTTATTTCAAAGTTTGGTGCTCTTGTCATAAAGTAGCAGTGATTAATTAAAAGTGAACTCTTTTTAGCCAGTGGTTATTTGTGCATGTGTGTGTGTGTGTCTGTTTACCTGTCTGCCTTCATCCTCTCTATCCAGTGTGTACCAAGCTTCATATTATTAAGACGTGGTTCTGTGATATGTCATATCAATAGAATGAAGGGCAAAAACCCTCTGATCATTTCAATGGATGCTGAAAAAGCATATGGTAAAATTCAACATCCATTTACAATAAATCCCTCAAAAAAGGGGTAAAGAGGGAACATATGTCAACACAATCAAGCATGTAGTTCTGGATTTTATTGGTAATATTAATGAATCATTGTGCTTGTCTTTTTGGCAGGCTTTCTACCCTGTGGAGAACCCAGTAGATGTAAGCTTTGGTGACATACTGGCTGCAAGATGTGTATTCACTGGTGAAGGCAGGACAGAAGCCACACACATTGGGTATGATTCTGCACATTCCACTATCTAAAGATATTTTATTAGGATAAGACATGATTACAGATGACAGCTATCTTTATGAATAAATTATAAATTTATTTTCTTGTTGTGGACAGTTATAACAAACTGTAGCATTTTATCATTTTAAAACTGATCGATTTGGGTAAACTCCAGAACATGTGCTCATTTTTCATGCTTCTCTTTTTCTTGCATCCTCAAAACCTTCAGTATCATAACTCTAGATATTACAATTACCACAAGACTTTGTATTACTTCCTGAGACTCATCTTAATAAAGAAAGTATATTGATGATGAAATTTTTTTCTCAAGTGCCTTTTTGCCCTATGTTCACATTTAGACAAATATATGGAGTCTACATTTGGTCCCATTAAGTATTCAGAACCATGATGTTAAAACTCCTGTGAATTTAATAATTTCCAGTTGTTTAGTCTACCAAATAAGGATAATAATATGCAACATATCTCAAAAAGGAATGTCAATTCTTTTAAATAATTTTTAAAATACTGCACCTCCTTGAAATAATTATATTTTATAAAACTAAGTAAAATTTTCAAAGCATTATGAACCCTTTCAAAAAAAACTTACCTGAATGAAAAAAAAGGTAGTTTCTTTTTATGCTTTCTGATAGAAAAGAATCAAGTAGACTTCTTTTTATGTTAAACTAAATTTTAAAATATTTACTGATGCCATCTGGAAGCTAGAGTTTTAAACCGTTTATCTCTTAATCAAAGAGAAGTTACAGAAAGGAAGCATCTGAAAATATGCCTTAGATGCACTAAAGATGATTTTTGTGATAGCGACACTACTGTTGGCTGTACAGAGAAGGGAAAAGGTACTGTGGCAGGTTAAAAAAAAGCAAGGCATTTGATATGGTATAAAAGAATTTTTATGTCACTGAATGACTTTTTTATATTAGTAAGCATAAGTTTTAAAGCTAAGGATAGAGAAAATTAAAAAACTATCAACTTCTGTTACAGAAATAGTTTCCAACAGCTTTGCTTTTCGATAAATTTGCTAAATTTGGAAAAGAGGCTTCAGGAAAGCAATAATATTATTGAGTTGCGGGAAATGATGCTGGTAAGAAAAGAGCTGACAAAGGAGGTATAACTAGATTTGAAAGAAAGAGCATAGTAAGCCCCTCCTTAACAATCTTTAAATACATGAGGTAACATGACTCAAAGGGCATCCATCAGTTGTTCGTTTTATGTCAGTGCAGAGGCTTAGGGAGTTTACTTAAATGCTCCAGGTTATGTTATTAACCTTTATAGTAAGTAAAGTAGTAAAAAATCCCTTTCAACACATTACTTGCCCTGGCTTACAAGTTTTAAGTGTGGAAAAAACAGAATTTTTTGCCTACAGGAATCTTTACAGTTTGTTGTGGTGGAGGGGGGTGGGGGCGGGGTTGTTACTTTGGCCAAATTGTATTTGAGTTCTGTCTGTGAGGTAATATCAGCCATAGAAATTAATGACTTGTTATAGTACTAGGAAGGGAGGCCAAAGTTATCTCTGGAGGCCTCTCAGTTTCACAAGTCTAGAATAACTCTTGTCTTTTTTTTAAATGTGCATTTTGCTTTAAAATAATACCCTAAAATGACTACACTAATTTATCCTTTCATAAATCTCGTGTGGGCTAAAAGAAACACCATTTTGTAATAAAAATGAAATAGAAAGATGTTATAGGAAATTAACTTATTTGGTAAGTCCATATTCTGAATATTTAATTTCTACTACAGAAACAATTTTTTTTCCAGTGGAATGACAAACAAGTTTTAATACATTTAAATATGAATAAAGGGTCTCATAATATTGGATAATATTTTCAGAGCAGTTAATATGCTTTTTATTTTTAGAAAAGTAACAGCAGCAATGTGTCTCTGTTTTGTAAAATAATAGGTACAACCTGTATAGACTGCTGCAGGATCACAGTTGAGAATGTAACCAGTGAAATAAACTAGTAATTTATGGTGTCTGTTAAATTAAATGATATTCTATGAATCTATATATCTCCTTTTCCTCTTCTGTGTTCCCACCTACCTCCAACCCACACATACAAACACACATTCCCACAGGACACAGATTTGACCCCTGAGCATGATGCACACTTAGGTATAAATCACACTTATCTAAGGATAGGCTGGGGCCAGTAGGTGTCTCCTCCATGTCCTGGGAGAATTCTCAGCTTCAAGTTTTAAACCCTTCTGTTCTGTGGTTACATGGAAACTACGTTCTACAGAAAAACTGTTGACCGTAGCCTACTAGGAAGATTTTCAGTTGAATGATCTTTCTACCAACACCAAGCTTAACTCTGTATTAAGCTAGAAATTTTAGAACTGAAGAAAACTTTGCTTGGGTAGAACAATTATGGGTGACTATTGAAAAGCACTTAAAAGTAGAGACTGATTTTCCCATACCAGGGATTCATCTTAAAATACCACAATGAAGAAATAGATGGATTTAGCCCCCTGAGTGTCCGTCAGTGGATGAATGGATAAAGAAAATGTGTTTTATGTACATACAATGGAATACTATTTACCCTTTAAAAGGGGGGAAAATTCTGTCATTTGTGACATGGTGGATGAATCTGAAGGATGTATTAAGTGATATAAGCCAGGCACATAAATATTAATACAAATACCACATGATCTTACTTATACGTAGAGTCTAAAAAAGATGAACTCGTAGAAATAGAGACTAGAATGATGGTTACTGAGGGGTGAGAAGGTGAGAATAGGAATTGTAGATCAAAGGACACAAAGTTTCAGATAGACAGGAGGAATAGGTTTTGAGATCTATTGCACAGAAGAATGACTATAGTCAATATAATGTATTATATATTTCAAAATAACTAAGAGAGGAAATGTCAAATGTTTCATCATAAAAAAACGATAGGGTCGGGTGCGATGGCTCACGCCTGTAATCTCAGCACTTTGGGAGGCCCGGGTGGGTGGATCACCTGAAGTCATGACTTCAAGACCAGCTTGCCCAACATAGTGAAACCTCATCTCTACAAAAATAGAAAAATTAGCCAGGCATGATGGTGGGTGCCCATTATCCCAGCTACTTGGGAGGCTGAGGCTGGAGAATCACTTGAACCCCGGAGACGGAGGTTGCAGTGAGCCAAGATTGTACCATTGTGGTCCAGCCTAGGCTGTAGAGTAAGATTCTGTCTCAAAAAAAAAAAAAAAAAAAGGTAAGCAAAGTAATGGATTTGTTAATTAGTTTGATTTAATCATACCACTCTGTGTCCATATATCAAAAAAATCACATCATACCTTATATTACAAAATCATTTTTTATTTCAATAGCTTTTGGGTAACCAGTGGTTTTTTGTTACATGGATAAGCTCTTTAAAGGTGATTTCTGCGATTTCGGTTCACCTGTCACCAAAACAATATACACTGTACCCAATACATAGTTTTTTTTTTTACCCTTAACTCCCTCCCATTCATCGTCCTACCCCACGTCCCCAGAGTCCATTGTATCATTCTTAAGCCTTTGTATCCTCATGGCTTAGCTCCCACTCATAAGTGAGAACATACGATTAAATGCTTATTATTGTCAATCAAAAGTAATATTAATAATAAAAAATACTTTAAAAGTAGGCATATTTAAGATGAGTTATGCTAATAAATATACTTAATGGTAAAATATTTTACCCGTATATATCATTTACTTTTAAATAGTAAAGATGAATAATATTCCTAAACAAAGTTGCACCAAAGTATTATATAGTGACAACGTAGTACTACTAATTGATCTATGAAGAAGCAATATTTTGTGCCTGACTGCATCACATATTTTATATTCAGGATGATACTTCTCTAAATTCATTTCATATGTTTAGTCAAGTTTAAATAAAAAGTAGAATTTAATTAAGTCAACCAATTAAGCTCATTAAGTCAGCTAATCAGGCTAAAAGTTTATATGCTAAAATTTAATATTAATTATTGGGAATAGGTAGGTAATATTTACCAATTTGGCCAGTTTGATTGGTCATATTTTTCATTTGGCATGGGTCATTTCATGAAAATATGAATATTCATGGATACCAAAATAGCACTTTAATCAGTATTTTTAAATATATTGCATGCAAAAATAAAGTTACATGATAAATAACTTCTTAATGTATACATTTGAAAGCACCATGAAACTTTTTAAGAAATGATTAAAAGTTTTGTAAAATGACTTTTTTAAATTTTTTATATTTCTTTCCAAAATCAATATTACCAGTTTTGACTATTTTCAAGCCTAATATTTGTTGAATATAAAGGAGGTAGAAGTCAAGGAATTCTTGAGTTAGTGAAGTGTTTGTGATATAGACATGAATACAATAATATTTGGAATTTTTTAAGTGATACATTTTAGAATACTTGATACTTTATTAAATCTGTATTATATATCTTTCTAATATATTTTTATAAAAGGACTCATGGAACCTAAATAAATAGATTGGAGAGGTAGATAAACAGATATAGATAAATATTTTCAGAAATCCCACACATCAGTGGGGTTCAAAAAATTGACCTGAATTATTATTCAGTAGTATATTAGGACAAACATACTATGTCATATAAAGTGGTAAACGTTTATTAAACAAGATTATTTATTCTTTCTTCATTCAGCAAATATTTATTGAGGGTTTACAATTTTCAGGCTCACACATTATGTCAGACTTAAAGCTATTTATATTAAGTATGCCAGTATAAAACAGGAAGTTATCACCTAAGCACTTTATTATGCAATAAGATGAAAGAAATGCACTACTGTAATTTTGGAATACAAGTAATGCCAGCAGTCATCATTTTAGGGAATCACACTGGCATTGGGGAATGTTTAAATGGGCTTTCAGTGGACATAACCTCTCTTCCTATTTTCTCATGTTAATAAATCATGCAGATTAGTAGTGTTGAATTGCATGTGTTGATCTCTGTGGAAATTAAGGGTACATTGTCAAAGTATTCCCTTAGGAATACAGAAAGCAATTTGTCTGTTTTAAAATGAGATTTTTTATTTTTGAATGAAAGGTGAATGATAGTAAAATAAATAAGCAAACTGTGATGCTGGTGCTAAGGATGATTTGACTCCTAAAATTTTTAGCATATGAGAGTTTCTCTGTCACATAGGAGCTCAGAGTTACCTTGACTACTAGTCTAATTATAGATGAAAAGGAATAAAGTATGACTCTTTTTTTCAGCCTTTTTAATGAAATTTTCCTTGCGATAGCAAAGATTCCCGAATTATTGGGTCAATTCAATTTTGAATCATAGAATTGGTACCCCAAATGAACTGTATTGGTGAGCTGATTAATACATCTCAGAAAATCATGTGTGTAAATCTGAACACATTTATATGTGTATCAAATTAACATATATGTGTAATCGAATTAGCATATTGTGTGTATATATGTGCATGTGTGTACACACATACATATATGTATACTCTTACACGTATATGTACAGTTTTTCTCAAAAGTTAATTCAGTAAATGCAAGATAATTCACTTTTGAGGAAATAACTTGCAACATTAGCTCGTATTTTTATTTTTTATTTTTTCAAATGTACTATTTAAAATAATAAAGTATGATCATAAGTTACAGAAGACAAAGAGTTATATTACTTAGTTACTGATTTTTCTTTATTTGCCATACTAAAGTACATATGTGTTTCAAACATGTAACTTTGTACCTTGCTATAAACTATTTCTAATATAGTAATTGCTGCCTTTGTCTCCAATATTAGTATAAAAATTATTCTAAACTTATGCCACCTTTTTATTTCATATTCTTCTCCATAATTACTATCTACAATTTGCTTTTGTTTTTTAATTATTACTTACTGCTTTTTTGGTGATAAAAATAAACTTATAATTTAGTTAGAGTAAATTATTGTCTTAATTATTGCTTTTAGCCCACATTGCACAGTTTAGTTCCTTGTTCTCAGTTTAATCACCTTTCACTTGTCTGAAATGAAATTTTTACTTTAAGTACAGTTTCTTTTCAAGTGTATATAAAAAACAAATCCTTCTAAATACACATGTAACAAGTATAGAAACACCAGAATTATCTTTGAGGGAATATATATTAACAAGATATTTTATATTAGTTATTTTGAAATTTTGTAATATTAGTTGCTTCTCAAATCTCTAATGGATTTTTCTGAAAGGTTGGACTATGTGTTTATCTGAATGGATGGATAGATGGAAAGATACTGATAGAATATACATAGATATTTACCTGTCTGTATACAGTTAAGACATGTTATGAAACATTTCCAGCTACACTATCTATGTATATTCATTTGGATAGCTTTGTATAACTTCACTATAGCACACTACTCTAGTGAAGAAATAATTTTGATTGGTCATCCTTAAACAATACTAGCATTTTGTTTCTATCTATGTAAGAGCAGGCCTTGTACTACAACTTTTCTTAACCTGGTCAGATTCATTTACGGAATAGAACCTACTGTATCCACCCCCAATACAGTCATGAGCACATTGTATATTAAGGATCAGGCAGCACAGCATTGTTTAACTTGTGTAAACCAACATTTTCTATTGGTCATATAGTAAGTTTTTCTCAGCTCTTCTGTAAGCATTTCAAGGACCAAAGTTTTGTAGTAATAGCTATGGAAATACTACTCTAGAAAAAAATTAGAAAGAGTAAAAAAACCCTAGGATTTCCTAAGTACTTTATAAAAACGTATAATAGCTCACAGAATAAACAATTTTCATTTATGCAACAGAGAACACACTGGCCCAAGGGACCAACAATATTTAGATCAGCAGTGATAGTTACTTCATTTTGTGTAGTTTTTGTAGTAAAGAAAGAGATTGGGATACTGTTGTCTTACATGTGCTGTTGTGGGTGGATATTCCTCCTCTAGTGAAAACATGGGTATTGACATTCCCAAAAAGAAAAAATATGGAAGGACCCATCCAATGATGAATTGCAAGTTTCATGAATTATTATATGAATTTAAAATGTTTTTCCTTTCATTAATTTAAGATGCTTAAATGATTATTTTGCTTTTCCTCTCTCCAAGATGATTAAAGGTTTTTAAAGCTAGAGCTACATCTTAAATTCCTTTTCCCTTTTTCTTGGTTGATCTACACATATCTCCTTTTTTTGAGCAGGAAAGAGAAGGATAATATGGCAGGAAGCTCCAGTTTATTATTTTTGCAATAGCCATTCTTTTTATGGCACGTACTGACCACCTTCAAGGCTGTTAAAATGTAATTCTTAGGAATGATTTTTTGACACCATGAAGATATGTGTAGTGAACAGATGTTTGTTTGGGTTTGCACTTCACCATTTGCTTATATTTCACGGGAGAGGCAATTACACTGACAGGTATCAGATTCAGAGAGTGAGAAGCCAAATGGTTTCTAAAGCATAAACAGAGCTTCCCATGGCAGGGGCTTATTCCTGTGGTCCCTTAAGGTCTCTACATTTTCAAAGCCTAGAGAAATCAAATCCCTATTTGGAAAAGATTTCTATTTTTTTCCTTCCCTTGCTGATGTCATTACTGTTGCTATGGAGAGAAAGTGAGTGCTGCATGACATTGCTGGAAAAATCAACACTGATATATTTCAGTACAGCGAATAACCTACCTCATAGCCTTTTTTTATTAGTATAGGCTTGCTGAAAATTGTCAGGACTAATACTAAAATGGAAATGTTCCTCTTCCTAAACAACTTTGCTATATAAAAATCCTGTGAAGATGTACTTAAATAGTTCCTTCCTAATAATACTCAAGAGAATGAAATGTGTAATAACCCATTAGGAAGCAGAATACATGTTTTATAAACTACTAGATATTTTTTCTATCATGGGGAACTTTTTTCTTGAAAATGTCTACTGTTTTAAAATCTATTTTTAACATTGAGTCATTCAACTGTACAGCACTACTTCTGTCACATCTCAACCCTTAAAAAAGATTAGTGCTGATTTCATTTTGAGTCATTCCTGAGGCGTTATTTTCAACCCTGCTATAAAAGCCTAGTTGCCAAGTCAGACATCAGGGATACACTTTGGATGTCTTAGTGTGGACACATGATTCTAGATTCATCTGGCCATGAGGAAGGAGGCACTTAACCAAAATAAGGCCCAAGATTTTTGGTGTTAAGAGGAAAGGCCATTTTTAAATCTTATAAATAATATACGATAACTCTATTGAAGGGTTCTGATTTTTACCATTATTAAGGAAATAAGATTTTCCATGAGAACAGTAACTTTTCCCAGTCTATGAATTTTAGCAAATAGAAGGGGACTATGGAATAAAAGGATATGAGAGAGAAAAGAAAGTATCATATCCCCCATCTACTAAAATGCCGTTTTCATCTGTGGTATTTAATAGTGTTCATGGTGTGCCTGCAAACTAGCCCTCCATTGTTAAGTAGAAATATGCCTTTGACAATGTGCTTTTGACGTTGAAAACTGTGATGTGTTTTAATGAAAGCTGTAAAATAAATGCACAATATTTCTACCTTTGAATCCATTGCTGGCAGATTTAATGACTGCATTTTTCTTGCATTAAGAACGTGTTATGTGAATGATTGATTTGTTGTATCTTTTTTTGCCTGCAGTGGCACGTCTAGTGATGAAATGTGCAACTTATACATCATGTATTACATGGAAGCCAAGCATGCAGTTTCTTTCATGACCTGTACCCAGAATGTAGCTCCAGATACATTCAGAACCATACCACCAGAGGCCAATATTCCAATTCCTGTGAAGTCTGATATTGTTATGATGCATGAACATCACAAAGGTAATAGTTGATGTTTAATATAAAGCAATGTATGATTTTGTATTTTATATTTTATGTGTATCTTGTTTGACTAAGTGATTAATATTTAAAATAATTTTTATTCCCATCTTTCTGCCAGTCACATGTATACACGTATTTCTCATTTTCTCATTTTTCTCTTTCATATCCTATCTCCCCTCCCTGACATGTCCCCATCAAAACAGGTAAAGAGAAAAATCTCAGCCAGGAATGAAACAGATTTATTTTGGGACCAATCCCATAAATGTAGACCTTTCTTCATTTAATTCATGTTTTCTCATTTCCTCATATAATTTCTTCTCTAACCAGTAATGACTTACACAATTTATGAATTTATCCACCATGTTCTAAAGATCACTACAGTTTGCTAGTGAAAATGGTTATCATCCCTAGCCATACTTTAAATAATCCATTTAATGGGTCTCTTCAGGCAAAGAACAATTATTGATTTGTGAAGCGTTGCTAGTCTTGAGTCTTTTATCTAATTCTCAGAATTGTTCTTTAACTAATATATATTGTTCATCAGCAAAATGGTGATGAACAATGTATATTGTTGATGAACAACATATTGACTGCCATTTTTTAACGTAAAATTGCAAAGTCTAGATTGAGTTTTGCAAGTTTAGTCTTAACATGCTAGAGCAGCTTCTTATTTCTTTCTAGTGGAAAACTTATGAGAGAAGTTAGCATAGCAATCTGGCTATTTATTAAGATTCTAATATATAACAGAATATGCCTTAAAGTGTTCTTAAATGTTCTTAAAACACTGCTAAATTTAATTTAAAACAAACAAATATTAGTCATTTTGTCAATGCATTTTGTAAATTCTGTATCATTTATAGATTATTGAAATGGTAGTTGACCTAGTTATTAAGTCAGATGTCTGGTAGTTGGTAGGCTGTGCTGGGGGGTAGGGTGCAGGCAGCTTATGAATTAGAGCATTTTTATCATATAAACTCTTAATACTGTAATAAGCACAAGACCCTGAATAGTATTTTTATGTTGATGGCATATTTAATTATTTAAAGTGTGTAAGATATACTGCAAATTTATGCCCAGCTTCTTTGATCTTTTACAGAAACAGAATATAAAGATAAGATTCCTTTATTACAGCAGCCAAAACGAGAAGAAGAAGAAGTGTTAGACCAGGGTATGTATGCTTATTTCTATAACCAGGCCTATAAAAGTATCAATTTCCAAATAGACAACCAAATTGTAAAGTTACTGAGATATTTTATGCCTCTCTGTGTCTGCCTCAAACTGTATGTATTCCTATTTTTATACAATACATAATTCATGAGAAAATGATCAATTATTGCTCTTTAGCTTTGAAAGTAAAATTCATTCATATAATTTAGTCTAGTCCTGTTTTGTTTTCTGGTCTTTGCTTTAGTTCATTTAATATTGTAAGTTTTATGTATAGTACAAATAAGTGCAAATATAATCACTAAAAGCCAGCAGGCTGCTTTTGAAACCTAATAACCTTTACCATTTAAATTAACGTATATTTTGTATGGTATGTTCATCAAGTATATTTGAGGTTCAAGAAAAAAGAAATTAAGAATTAAACCCACGTCTTGCCTCTATAAGTCATTCTTCTCTGCCTTCATCAAGGTAGGAGGGATTATTGTCTTATACATCTATAGTTTTGTGTTGAGGTGACATCTGCATACTTATAAAAGCATTATCTTCCTCTGTTCTGTTTATTGAAAGTGGTAATGTTTGATGCTTGTATGTCATATACTGCATGTGTGGGCACTAAAAAATTACTCTCCTGAATCTTGGTTTCTTGCCAGTTGTTTGGAAGACAGTGCTTTGGGTTAGGTGTTGGAGTATGTTATCCTACCAAGTTGTTCTTGGCCTAGAATATATGGTTATAAACATTCCTTTCATGTTAATGCAGACACGCTTCTACTGACAACACAAAGCATACAAGAAATAGAAAGGATTTTTCTATTAGCAACATATAAAAGTTTCCTGTTTCTCATTGTTAGCTGCTATTGCAATTCTTCAAAATGTATTACATTAGGTCTTGGTCAAAAATATCACTCTTGTATTTTTTTGAATTAAATCACTCTTGTATTAACAGTTTTTTGCAAAATTAAACAATTGAGACTTTAGAAAGGGAAAAATGCACTCTGAAAGAAGCATAAGGTAAACTATAATCCTTGGTTTTTAAATTACATAGTGGATGTTTCATAACATCTCATTCTAACAAAGTGGCCTTCAAAAAATGCAGCTTAGCTCAAAGTACTAAATTGCTGAGTAATTTAAAATAGCTAAATTTATCAATCCTGTTTATATATTTGTAAGACAACCAGTAATAGCATCCTAAATATAGTAGTATTCAGAGTGTTTACTGTAACTTCTATTTAAGTTTGTTCAGACTTCCAATCAATTATTTTGTCATTTCACACACTTTTTGAAATGCATGTCTTTAAAATAAATTTATTTATCTTAAAATACATTTGCAAATAACAACATATAAGAAATAATATGGAATGAGATACCACCATTTAGTAGATGCATCTTATAAAATGATGTTTCTATGGAAACTGCAGTTGCACTATGGTTTCCTTTTGAAGTTACTCAAATTGATCAAGGGAAACACTGACACCTCTGAAAGGTTGGAATCCCAGAGGTTTTGTTAGTGAAGCAGCATAAATTGTTACATTTCATCTGTTCTTTCCAAATAGTAGGATTTAGGAGATGTTATCTATGCCTACAAACCAGATTCTTTAAAATACTTTTATACTTTGCCATTCATTTATCCTTTCATGTTTTATAGCATATGTATAATGTTCAGAGGTGAACATTATATATATACCCCAACATACAAATATTCCCAAACCTTTATTGGCCCCAGAGAATAATTCTATGGACACATAAGAAATTATTTTCCTGTAATTTCTGTTTTCTTCTGTTTGCGAATAAAAATGCGGTAAATAAAGGTATTTAACTAGCAAAGAAGAAAAGCATTATCCTGAAATTAGCAATTTTCATATTGCAGAAAATAGGCTGTGCTCTTCATATGTTGAAATTAGTGGGCCCATCAAATGTCATCTCTAATGAAGGTAAAGACAGTAGCCTAACCAAAAGCCATTTCAATGGCTAGCATAGTATGTCTATTATCCTACTTGTCTCTGGGGACCACCAGCCTAGAATTAAAAGAGAAATACAGAAATGTACCAAAATTTGTACACATAGTTCATTTGATGCACTAATGAGATCAGTCTATCTCCTTACAACAAATAGGGCAAATCTCCTCATTGCTGAAAGAGTGTTTCATTCTTCTTAGAGATATTTGTTTGCACAAAATGTCTGTTTGTATTCATTCTTTAGGAAGTCAACTTGACCAAGTAGCTAATAACTGGGCTTTAATTATTCAAATAAATTATACCATGTATGTTAATTTTAAAGCAAGTCTTCAAACTTCACTTTTCACCTTTTTTGGTGTTCCATCCAAAACAATTTGTGTAGTATTTCTCCAGATTGTATCAATTCTTTTAATTTATTTTGAGCCCCAACAAACAAAAGACCAAATTATTGTGTTTGTGCTAGGCATAAGCTGACAGACACCATCTATGTTGGTCCTACAGAAGATGTCAAACCCCAATAAAAAACATAACAGTGTGGGGTAGGAAGAAAAGACTTGAATCATCCGTGGATGTATACTCATAGACAAGCTCTATACCAGTTAGTGGGTACAGATAGTTCTGTAAGTGATGTAAATAGTTCCACCTGGTTAATACTATATATAGTATAATGTGTATATATTATATATAGTGTGTATATAGTACTATATATTATATATAGTGTGTATATAGTACCACAGTGTGTGTGTATATATATATATATATAGTGTGTATATAGTACTATATATATATAATATACACATTATATATAATATGTACACATATAAAACAATATATACACATTATATATAATATATATGATATATATATTATTATGTATAGTACTATATACACATTGCATATATGTATATATACACACACACTATAGTACTATATATGTACTATATATAATGTATACACACTATATATAATATATATAATACATATAATATATACATATAACTACATAATAAATATATAGTATATATATACTATATGCAGTATAATTTAAATAGCATATATTTAATTACCATATATAGTGTATATATATAGTACTAAATATATGGTACTATATACACAGTATATATATAATAATGTACACATTATATATATTATATATAGTGTACACTTATATATAGTGTACATATTTTATATATATGTGTACATATTATATATACAGTGTGTATATAGTACCATATATTATAATGTGTACATATTATATATATAGTGTGTATATAGTACCATATATAGTACTATGTATACACTAATGTATATTTATTATATATAATGTGTATATATTATCTATATAGTATTTATATAGTACCATATATAGTACTATATATACTATATATAGTAATTTAATATATGCTCTTTAAATTATAGTATATATAGTATTATATATATGTATGTATATTATATATACATATCTATCTTAATGCATTGAAAAGCAAGTAGAAAGATAAAAGTCAAGATATGTAGTAAATGTTCCTTAGAAAGAAGAAATGACCTTTACTAAGATAGGAAAAAAAAAGGAAGGGAGAGATAGATATAATCATATTCCATAGATTAAAAGAAAGAAATGTAGCTATGCCATAAATAAACAGGAAGTGGGAGTTATCTCTAAAATGGAGGAAAAAAATTCAAAGAAAGCTAGTGATCTTTAAAGAAAGCCAGTGATCTTTAAAACACAGGTTTCTTTAGTACTCTGTTTCTCCGGGATAAACATAAATATTTTCTTTGAAATTCATATCTCAAACATTGAAATTCATATATCAAACTGTTGATGTTTTGCCAGAATATTAATCTTGATAGAAATTAACTGGAGATTAACTACATGTCTTGAAAGAGACATCTAAGTTGTGCAAATCCAGTCTGTGCTTACTCACAAGCACACTAACCTTTCACAACATCTTTGTCTGCATTTGCTCTCTGCAGAACAAAATCTGGTGTAAAGCAAGTGTATCTCAGATTCTATCTCAAGATGTAATTACAGAGACACCACAAAAGCATCATTATATGACAGTTTACCTATCATGTTTTCCTGGATCATGCAACAATAGGAACCATTTTAATGAGGCTTTAATTGAGTCTGTAGGGATTTCTTTAAGAATAATGCTTATTTTGACTGATTTTTTAAAAATAATATTCATTATAAAAGATAAGGAAATTTTGCAAAGTATAAACATACAAATAAAAATCATTCGTAGTCCCCAGAAATATGAGAATGTATATGTATGTGAAATATATATTATGCATATATTTAAGATATAAATATTAAGATGTATTATGCATATATTTATATCTTAAATATATGCATATGTAATGCACATTATTTTAATTATAATGTATATACAGTTTTGTATCTGCTTTTTTAAAAGTATACCTTGAATATTTTCTCCAATAATAAAAATTATTGGCAAGAGTTTTCTTTTTTTTTTTTTTAAGGCAGTGTCTCGCTCGGTCGCCCAGGCTGGAGTGCAATGGCACGATCTCGGCTCACTGCAACCTTCACCTCCCTGGTTCAAGCAATTCCCCTGCCTCCGGCTCCCTAGTAACTGGAATTACAGGGGCACACCACCATTCCTGGCCAATTTTTTTGTATTTTTAGTAGAGACGGGTTTCACCATGTTGGCCAGACTGATCTTGAACTCCTGACCTCAGACAATCTGCCCGCCTCGGCCTCCCAAACTGCCGGGATTACAGGAGTGAGCCACCGTGCCCAGCCAAGGGTGATTTTTAATGGCTGCATAATCCGTGCATATTCTTGCCTATATCAATTCAAAAATAGTCCATTTGCATATAAGGGAGCTTATCTGTGAATGGGTTGATTATGTCTGCCTGCAGGCAGAAAAACATGAATGGATATTCAAAACGAACTAAAATGTCACTGTCCTTCAAAGACATTGTGAGTGAAGAATTACCTATATATGTAATAAGTGTAAAAAAACTATACAATAGATTCAATTAGGAAGTGATTCTGGATGGAGGAAATGAATCCTAGGAGACTGTATAGAAT